AGGTCCACCTCCATAATAGTTTCAAAAGAGGTAAAATTGACAAAATCCTCTTATTGAAATCTCAAAGGAAATGGCTTGCTAACTACTCAAGTATATATCGATGATATCATCTGGGAGGCAATTTTTTAGGTGTTATATGAATAGGTTAACGCACTCATGGGTGGAGAGTTCTAAATAAGCATAATGGGAGATTTCTTCATCAAAACCCTAAAAAGGGACCAGATTGTCAAGAACAGGGACTTGGTACAAGCTCAGAGAACCTGCTCAAGAAGTTTCATCTTACGGATGTCAAGATAATTGATATTCCCATGGGGAGAAACTCGAATATGGGGATGATGGGTCCAATCCGGATTTAAATGATAAATGTATTAGGATTTTTGCAAGATTCCAAGCCTATCTTACAGAATCACATTTGAAGCCTACTAAGAGAATCTGAATACACTTGATGAAGAAAGATACATGGTTCTACTCTATCCATCAGGAGACTATGTGTTGATTGAAGGAATATGTTGATGTTGATTATGTCAGGTATCAAGCTAATAAAAATTTTTTGAATGACTCAATTGTGTGAGCTCATATCTCTTTCATGGGAAATAAAAGGCAAGATTTTTTTCTCTTTTAACAATTGAGTCAAGGGATGTAGCAGATGCAGGTCGCTGTGCTCAACGCTGATGGACACAATCATTGATGTCTTCAAAATCTCTGATGAGTGACCTGGTCAAGATAAACAATTTGAAGTTTAAAATGCTGAAACTGAATTGAATGGATCTTGCTTGAAAAAATCAACCCTCTCATGACTATGAAAAGGGAGTAGGTATACTTGTTTTTTCAATTATATATGTTTTAGAAAGTTCAATTTCATACCTTATAAAGGTGTACACACCTGGCAAAAAGGATGAAGGAAAATGGAGGTCACGACAGATCTAGGCAATCTCATTCAACCTACAAAGAAGGACCTGGTTCATTGTTGAAGGTTAGCTCTTTAACATTGTATTTTGAAATATGCTTGAGAACTGTTGCAATTTCCAGATGTCTGATCATTGTTCCCTCTTTTTAATACCAAGATGAAACTTGATTCCAATTTTTTTATACTCCATATGCCTTTCCATATCTCCAGAAAACTCAAATTCCCTTCCAAAATTTAGAAATACTCAAAACCCTCTTTTCCCCTCTCTTCAAATGCTTAAACCCTTTGTTCCTACCAAGGAATTTTCAATTCATAAATTTTTGAGTGTGAAGAGGGACCAGGTCTTATAAGAAAATATAAGAAGGTGGAAAAGATGATGATCAAAAAGGAGAAGGTTGATAGTCTTAGAACTCAAAGTATGCTGAATATGAGGGTGTCTGACTTAAAATAATGGAAATGAAAAAAAAATGAAACGGTTCCTCAATTATTGATCTATTCATCTTGAAGGGCTTGAGAAATTTAAATCTTACTAATCTGATGTCATGAGAAACTCGGACTTGATATAAAAGTTATGACACTTGCTCCTACTAGCATGGATACTAAAATACTTCGTTTGAAGGCTTAGCTTCTGGAGGAAAAATCAAAGAGACCAAGTTCCAAAATAAATGGCAGCAAAGCATGTTGAACTTTAAGAAGGAACTTCTAAACAATCATGCTAAGGGATATGATCTACTAATTCAATTCTTTCCATCCCTTGTTTCTAAGTCATCCCCCTTTTCCCCTTCTCACTAAATTCCCATGTCAGTCTTTATTCCTCTTTTCTATTGATACTCAGTGCGTATTTCCTTGGTTCTCATTCTTAGTATTATGTGCAATGCTTTGATTGATGATCTTTTATTTTTGAATGAAAAAGATTTTGTTTCTACTGACTTGTCTCAATAATCTACGCATTTTTACTCATGCTAATTGTTGCCCAAGTGGCTATGAATTAGCTTGAACTACAGTTCTGGCAACTTGTTTTACTACTTTAATCTTTTTATGATGTCAAAAAGGGGATCATTGATAAGGTATGAGATCTGAACATAGAGGGAATCAATTTTACTTGATAATGACATGGTCATATTGCTAATAAGGGGAAGAATGTTGAACAAGTTTGTCATCATCAAAAAAAAAGGAAAATGATATTTTGTTGGTGATGAGAAGTTTTTACGATTTAACAAACTTGGAATCAATTTAGATACCTAAAAAGTCTTGTTGATAGGGAAACTGGTGAAAGGGGGAACGTGAATAAGTCTGTTATAATCAAAAAAAGTAAAATATCTATTTTGAAGCTAATGTTATGTTTTTATGATTTAACAAACTTATGGATCTAACATGGGACCAAATTCTTGTTATTGGGACTGACGACAATGCAAGTTAATGAATAAATCAATGTGAGGAACATTTGTGTTTCATCATCAAAATGGGGGAAAATGTTATATTCTAGGTGTTCTGATGATCCTCAGAAATGCAGAATCTAACTAGACACCAGATCTAGGAAAGGGTCCACTAGTATTGGGACTAATTAAATAGGAAGTGAATGAATAGATTCAGCGTGAGGAATATTTATTTGTATTCATCAAAAAGAGAAAAATGTTATATTTCAAGTATTTTGATGATCCTCAAAAATATAGGGACCTGGTCCCTAGTATAGTGCTCTCATCCTAGGGTACAACTGTAATGTTTTCATGTCATGTGGTAGGTGTACTCTCCATCCGATACATAATGTGTACATCTGTAAATTTGTCCTACAAGTGGAAGGTGAGGCGCCAGCATACTGAACAAATCAAAATGAAAGAGCTTGTTTGTCCTACAGTTAATAACTCTTCATGGTTAATACTTTCAACCTGACAAATGACATATTAAGTCAAATTCATTCAAGAAGAGAAAAGGTCAACAAGTCTTTGTCAAAAACTCTAGAATCAAAGAACGCATCAAAAGACCTGGTCCCGAAAAATCTGCGTACAAGAAAGGGACGAAAGACAGTTATCAAAAAGTTTCCAACTCTTATGTGGTTGGTGTACAACTTTTTATGACAGCAGACTCTCAGCCAAAAGCTTCGTCCCAAAGGTTTGTGTCCATGGTTATATAGTCTCTTCTCTAAGATACAAATACAAGATTTTGGGGAAAAAAACTCACAAGCTTAAAAAGAAAAAGCCATCTATAAGGAAGTGCAATACTCGTACTCAACAAAAGGATCTGATTAAGTGTTGAAGTATCTTTGTTGAGTTTGAATTTTGTGTCTATCATTTTATAGGTTTTTGCATCTTGAAAATTATCGAGTATACAAGTAAAAACCATCTTGGTGAAGTATTCTCCAGCAAGCACAACAACGACCTGATTGAGCTGCATGTGTAAGAGTGTGTGTTAGGAGTTATACTTATGTACTCATATTGTAAATTTGTTCCTAATCTATAAAGGATTCAGATTGTTTTATTCTGGTTTGTAAAAGTATAAATCAGTTGCATTAACTAATTTAGTGGGAAGTGGTGTTTGTTTAGTCAAATTTAAATCATCTAGAGTTAGGATGTTTACTGGGAGGTGTGGTATCCGCTTTGCAAAGTCTAAGTTATCTAGGGATGATAGCTTAGTGGGAAACGTTATATCTTCTTCATCAAATTCCGCTAAGCAAAGCCTAAGTTATCAAGAGGTGATAGCTTAGTGGGCAGTGTTGTATCTGCTTAGTTAAATTCTAAATCATCTAGAGTTAGGTGGTTTATTGGGCGGTGTGGTATCCGCTTAGCAAAGTCTAAGTTATGTAGGGGTAATAGCTTAGAGGGTAGTGTTGTATTTGCTTAGGCTCTTCAAGTAATAAAGTTATCACTTGGTCATGAGATTAATAACTTCTTCTCACATTGGTTGTAATTGGGTTCACCTATTTAGGGAATTGGCGTTCTCAGATTCTCTCTGGGATTTTGGATTTTAGTGTCGGGGGATTTTTGCTTAAGAATGATTTGTCAGTTAAAAATCCTTTACAATAGGTCGTGGTTTTACTCCTTTGAGCAAGGAGGTTTCCACGTAAACTGTTTGAGGCAAATTCCCTCCTCTTGTTTCCCCTTTCTGCAGATTAGTGAAGCTCTACTGACAACCCCCATCCATCCCTCCTTCAACTTCAACCATCTTAGTAGCAGTTTTAGACCAATTATTTGAGTAAGGTTTCATAGCTATGATACCTGATATTTTGCTATCGACATCTCCTCCTTGTTGCATTTTTTGCTTTTCTTTATCATTTTCATGCTCATACCTGTTATGTGTTTCCTGTGTTGTTGGATGCCCTGTGTTGGTAGGTTCCTCTCTTGTTATATCTTGAATTTCCTGTATGTTCAAGTTAGTGAAAGCATTGTGATGTAATATAGGAGGTTTACAAGTTGCTTGTGCGGTGGTTTGGGGAGCTTCCTTGGCTGTCTGATTTTGTGGTGAGGTAGGTCTCCATGTTATTTTCTGGGGTCTCACTTCTTGCTGTCTTTGGTTCTTTTTTCTTTGTGTTTGCCATTCTTCTTCCTTCTATTATTCAGGTTTATTTTGTTTGTTCATCTCCCTACTGTTTTGTTGTTTTTTTTCTGTAGCATTGTTTGCATTGTCATGCTTATTTTATTTCTCTTTCTTGTTTTGATTATCCTTGCTTTTATCCTTCTTTTCATTTTCTTTCTCTTTTCTATTTCTGTAGTCATCCTTTCTCATTCGAACTTTCCATTCCTCTTGGTGCCTGCAGTACTCACAGTATGGGGGATGTTTTCATATTCCAATATTTGCCATTTCCCTATATTAAGGTCACCATCATCTATACCAATCCACACATGTCTAGGTCTAGTTATCGTTAAGTCCACTTGCATTTTTTACCTTTCCCATACCTGCTCTTGTTCTTTTTATTGGGGTTGTATCCAAGTACATGTTTTTTATTGAATTTGTATGAGAATGGTTTGAACGTATACTATTTTAAATATAATTTAAGATATCTAATTAGATTTTATATTTAAAAAATTAAATTAATCTAATTTAGTTTACCCAATAATTATGATGAAGAAAAATTGCATAATTTAAATAGAACAGTGAATGAAGGGAAGCTTTTGACTTTAAACTTACACATATTGCCAAAAAGAATGCTCTATTATTTAGAGTTACAAAAAAGGGAAAGATAGACGTACTTATGAGTCTTTGTTCATCATAAGTAGTAGTAATGAGACAAGGTTAAATAATAAATGAAGTAAAAATGAGGCACACAGTTGATTAGTTTTGTCAAAATCTATTACAAAAGAGTCATGACTCAAATGTTTAAATAATAAAATTAGAAGAAGAATCCAGCAACAGCTGAAACAAGAATGATGGATGAAACCTTCAATGTAGTGGCAGTGCTAGCAGTGGGTGCCTCAGCTGATGTGGGAGCTGAGTCACTTGTGGTGGTAGAGTCTGTTGGAGGAGGAGGAGGTGATGAGACTTCCTCTTCTTCAGCTGAGCTTGACGAATCTGAGGTAGGAGATGATGACGGTGAGCTTCCCTTAGGTGATGGTGATGGTGATGGTGATGATTTGGGTGAGTGAGTTGGTGCACTTCCATTGCTCTTACTTTTAGGTGAAGCTGCGGGGGCTGATGATGGAGATGATGATGATGATGATGATGGGGATAATGATGGAGATGAATGTGGCGATGAAGATGGTGATGAAGATGGTGAGCTGCTTGGTGATGTGGCACCGGAAACCAAACCAACAAAGGCAACAAAGAGAAGAGCAACAACAATTACTTGACGTGCCATTTTATTTATTTATTGTTTTATTTTACTATCAAAGATATATAGGTTGATTATTCTCTTGAGAATTGCAGTATTTTCTCTTCAATGATTAGAGAAATACTGCACAACTTATGGAATATACAATTGTGAGAAAGGTAGCTTTTATAGTGTTTAAACAACAAAAAAACACGGGGGATGAAAGGACAATGTTGCATCACGAGAAAGAAAAGGAAAAACTAAAGTAGTTTACCATGAATAAATATATATTACGAGAGATCATTAAGGAGAGCCATGACTAATGAGTTACTCTATAAAAATAATGTCTAATTAATCATAATATTTGACATCAAGACAATACCTGTAAAACAATACCACTAATAATTTATCGACAACTTCTTTTTAATAAAAAATACATAAACTGATGGTCTGAAAATATATGTACAATCAATTCATCTATAACATACTTATTAGAAAATTTAGATCAAACTTTAGTAAAATCTACACGTTAATTTAAAATTGATAATTTACATATTTTACAACCGTGTTTGGTTATAAAATTTTTCTTAATTCCCAAAAAGTAGAGGATGTATGCACCATTGATTGACTTGATCGATCAGTACCGAGATGATATATATTAATGTTTAAATGTTTCAATTTGTGAATTTTTAATTGACTATTAATTATAGGTCTACTAATATTTATTTGTATAAATTGATTGAATCTGAATTAAATATAAACCTATCTTTGGGTCATATTTCAAGTCCAACAAGTGTAATATCTGTTAGAACATATAAACGAAGAGATAATTGTATAGAATGACAAACTAATAATGTAAAATAAATATAATAGCTATCGTTTGATTTATTTGTGTTTCATAGCAAACTGTTTGTCAGTCGCCTCTCTCCCTCATATTTCTTGCTTATCACTTTCCCTCTCTCTCGCTTCATGTCGCTCGTCTCTCTCACTTTATACAATAGTATTGTAGAAATTGTGTTTATGTTTGTACAAAGCGAGAGAAAATTGTATATACACATGTAAATACATATATTTTTGTCCTTTACACTTATAATTATAACAATACAAATATTTTTCTGCCCAAGTCTCTTTTGTCTTTCTCTCTTTCCTGTTTATACAAATTTGAATTGTATATAATTTCTCTCTTTATCATTTTATACAATTCGATTCAATTGTATACAAATTCAAAATTTATACAGATATACAAACACATACAATTGGATTGAGAGGCTAAAATCAATTTATATAAATGGTCTTCCAGCAAAATTATACAAATCTGAAGAGGGACCAACGAATTATATAATTACTTTTTTGTATATATGTATAGCGAAATAGGCATAGCTTTCAGTTGTATATGTATAGTAAATTATACATACATACATACATACATACATACATACATACATACATACATATATATATATATATATATATATATATATATATATATATATATATATATATATATATATGTTATGGAGTGTAATTATGCAAACTTTGCAATAACATATAAATTTAAATTTTGTATTTGCTATATGTGAAAGTTTCCTATAAACGAATGACCAGATGGTGTAGAAGGCTAGGCTAGACAGAATGACCTACATATCCTTATACTTGACTATGTTTGTTAGTTAAATCCTCATATTTATTACTTTGTCAAATGAACCATTAAATTTGATGAAACTCTATTTCTTAAAATTTTCTAATCATTGATCGAGCTTATGTGGCATTAAAATAGTTGAGTTGGATAAATATATGACCAGACGCGTTTTAAAGCAAGTGAACAGGATTTTTTTTATTTTAAAATTATTAAAATTATAAGACAAAATAATAATGATAAAAAAAATTAAAAAATATAAAAGAAAATCCTAAACTTGAAGTTTTCTTGATTTTCTTCAATCAAATCAAAAATAAATTTTTCCCAACTTGAAGTTTTCTTGATTTTCTTCAATCATATCAAAAATAAATAGAACCTAAAGCATGTATGTGCAAGAGCTAATTAAAATTTGTTATATTTTATAGTTGAGAAAACTTTCAAGTGTGAACATTGAATAAAGATGAATTTTTTTTTTGTAGGTGAGGTGTAGAGGGTGGGTAAGAATGAAGAAGATGAAGTAGGAAGGGGGAGAAAGAGAGAGAAAATTGCACTTTTTATTTTTTAATATTATTTAATTTTAAAATGTAATTTATGATGTGTCATTTAAAAAATAATTTAAAAAATGACGTATTATTAAAAAATGACGTGTATTTTAGGGATAAAATGAGTGTATTACACATATTTGGCAAAATGAGTTTAAGGGTTTAAAATATTGTGTTTGAATGAGTTTAAGGGTTCATTTGGCAAAATGATGAATAGAACGGTTCAACTCACAAATAGAGCCAAATACAGAGTCTCTCTGATCATTCCGCCTAAAAAGAAATATGAAATATATTTAAAATTAGAATAATTATCTGGAAACAATTAATATAAAAAGAAATGATGCTCCTTTTGAAAATAATTATAAGCAATATTCTTTTCTTTCTATATAGGGAGTTTCATGGGATTCTAACATTCTTATTCCTCTTTTTCTTATGTAATCAAGGATGATCATTGTCTAATTGTCAATTTTTTAATCATCACATGTACTCTCCACACATAAATATTCTTACCATTCTAGTACACTTAATTCTTAATAGAGCTTTCATTCTAGTGCTTGAACTAACTGCTCAATTATGATAACTTTTTAAGCCTTAATAGAGTTTTATGTTATTGCTCGATCCAATGGTAAACTTATAACTCTTACCCTAATACAAGTAGTTCAAGGTATCATGATTGATCAATGTCTACTAATCTTTTTCAAACATCTCGAGTTTCCAAAAAATAATTATAATCAGTTCTAAATCATAAAATTCAATTAACAACATTTCTACAATTTTCATGAAAAATAGTTGTACAATGAATAGATTCCTTCTCAAACTATTTGAAATTAAATCAAGTTTTGCATTAAACAAATTTCATTATTTATATATAAAAGAATTCAATAATTTGAAAGCATGGTAAATTTTAATAAAAGAACTAAATGCATGGAATCTTGAAAATAAAGATCTGTACTTTCAAATACGAAATGGAATATCATTGTAGCATTTTATATCTTTTTGAAGGGAAGGATATGTTGACAGATCATATTCTTCAAATTAGGTGAATGTATTTGGTATCAGTACTTAGTTCCAGTGTGATTCATGACCTTCATAAATTGTTTGCTGAATTTTTCTAGAATAATAAAGAAGACAAGAAAATTTTTATATATTGGCTTATTATGTGTTCGCCAAAATCATAGTTACGGGAAGGGGAAAACAGTAAAAACACATAAAAACAAACAAATGACCAAGAGGATCCTTACAACATTGTAATGACCCTCTAGGTTATTTATGCATTTATACCTTCTTTCAATTGTCTAGAGCGTTCAAATATCGACTTCAAGTCATTTACAACCTAGGACTCAGAGTCCGGTCACCTGATTGTCTGTTTGGTTTTTATGCGAGTTATAGTTTTACAACCTTTTTGACCTTGGACGGTCATTGTTTTAACAAAATTTTAAGAAGATGATCTTAGAATTCAATTTTGAAGATTCTATCATCTTTGAGTGGGTTATTTTAGGCTTGTACCAAAGCAGGAATGACTCGTGAAGCTTTCAATGTGATTCTGTGTGATTAGGCATTTTAACTTTCAAGTTAAGGCCTAAGTTTGACATTAGTCAACATTCTACATAAATAAGCTCGGATGAGAATTTCATCAGCGTTGTTAGCTCCAGTATATTAAGTATGTTCTGGAACGATCCTTCATTTGAATCTCGAGGCTTCTGAGTTAATTAATGTTGAGTCATCTTATGGATTTTGGCTTAAAACGAAGTTCAGGGTGGACGCAACTTTTTGTTGAGTTGACATCGTATGGTAATTTCAACTAATATGTTGAGTATGGAATGTCAAATTTGGTAGGTGTTGCATATCTCATTTCCGTGCATGAAGTTTCAAACTAATTCAGAATACGCCATCAGAATTTGAACTAGCCAAAAACAAGTTTATATGCATTAGCTGGTGCAGGCTAGAATGCATTAACAATGGTTGACCCTATGCCACGCTTGCGAAGGCTTGACAACCTGGTGTCCACATTTACGAGCCCTTAGTCACGTACGTGGGGGTCATGTTTGTGGGGTCCCTGCACATTCATATGGTCCAGTTCCCCTTTGGCCACGATCACGAGGTCATCGCCGTGTTTACTGGTTCATATTCAAAATGGACCCTCCACGTTCGCGAAGAAGAACTTATACTAATATTTAAATATGACAAGTCAAAAAAGTTGCTCTCATTGCAATCTTCAAAGTGTGATTTCTAACTCTTTTAGCTTGAAATCTGGTGATTTAAAGTCACGCACGTCCGAAATTGTGAAGGCTATGTCGAGGAGTGATTAGATAGTGTCAGGAAACCTCTATTTTAGGTGAGTTATTGTTGCAACTTATTGCCTAGTTCTTATTCTTAGAGCTAAATTATTGTTTTCTTTTTTTAGTGTGTGGCTCTTCCGAGCCCAAAATCGTTCCCCTCTTTGGAACACAAGTTTGGCATTAATTAGGACCTTGTGATAGAGTCAATTCCAAAAATTCTGGCATGGGATCTACAATCTCCATTTGACTCTAGAATAGGCTTGTCTCCATTTATTTGCTTTGGCTTCTAAACGATCGTACAGATGTTGTGATCTTATTTTTGATAGCTTGGAATAGTTCGAAAGTTGTTTCAAAAGGAAAATATCCATCTTTGTGATTGTGGTCGGCCTACGGTAGGCTACGACTTCTTTTTCAAATAGATTAAGTTGAATTGCGTAAATACATGTTGATTAGAGTGAGTTGGGGGTGGGTACCTAGTCCTTTCTATGTCTCTTCCTAGATACCATGTTTTAAGATTGATCGACATTATTTTGGGTTTAGTACCATGCTAGTTCAGGTTTATGTGTGTTTTTGCATGTTATTGTGTATTAATTTCATTTTTAATTGTTATATTGAGCATGTTCGAACTTAGTCTAGAATAGACTAGTGTTGGTTAAGGCTTGCGATCCGTGTAGCCTTGTTTCGTCTATGGCGTTGTTTTGGAAG